TGGGTCTCCTGAAGCCTCTAATGCCGCGCGCTCCCATGGTAAAAATACAATGCAGACCGTTTGCAAAAGCAGAAGAGCGGCACTCCCAGTGATAATCCCACCCCATAAGCCCACAAGCCCAAATCCCATACGGAAACAAAACGTCCAAGCTGAAGTCAGACCAACTCCGTAATATGCAATGAAGTTACACATTCCAGAGAGGTGATTTCGTCTTGCGCCGCGTAAAATACCCCCGGCGCCGCCGTTGGAGAGGTCTAAGACTTGGAAAATAGCCATGAGTGGCAACACTTTCGCTGTTGCTGCCACAACCCGGGGGTCAGAGGTAAACATATATCCAAATGTTGATCGAGAACACATAATGAGGATCAGTTCAAGTGCACCAAGTGCAAAAGAGAGGATGTATGGTGATAAGGCGACATGCCGGGCGAGAGCGGGTTTGTTGGCTCCAAGAAGGTGGCCGATACGATGGCTTGCGGCAACCCCAACTCCGAGAGACATGGTGGTAAAAATTAAATCGGCTGACATCAATATCTAAAATTGTCAACACACTCTCATCATTCCAAAGGTGCGTCACACTCTTGTTACAATGCAATTACTCACACTTTGTGCGCTAATCTCATTGTGTGACAGACGTGCAGCCATGAGCGCGAGGATCTCGAAACTAAATTCTTGAAGTAAGCCGTATATTCTAACATGAGCTATGAATGCCTTACCTCCACCACTCCGTTGCGATTGTAAGGATTCCAGTTATCGCCAGACTCAAATTGGCGATTATACCGAAGCGAAGCTCGTTGAAGGTCAATATAAGCTTGATTGTTGGCTTGACCCTTCGGCTTTGCACGACAAGACATACCAGGAAAACCACTGTGCAGACTTGATATAAAAGGAAGGCCAAAGGTACGCCAGCGTCTCCCAAGGCTGGGAGTCTCACAAATCCCACATTAGATATCATACCGATTAAAGCCGCAGCACCGGTGATCCATCCTACCGCATAACTATCACCTTGCACTTGGCAGAATTTCTTGAGTGATTCAGCAACCATTTGGAAGTAGCCTGCTGGGATCATAAGGCGAAGAAATCTGCCAATGCCGAGTGCGAAGCGTGTCTCCTGTCCCAAAGCTACAAATATGCGGCCTGACACAAGCCATAGAGGTGTAATAAGAACGAAGAAGATCAAACTCAAAACCACCAAGCTTTGTTGTAGATGTCGCCCAAGCGTTGTGGGGTCGTTCAATGCTTTGGTAGATGTCACCGCTTGTCCACAGAGCGTATCAAGAGCAGTAGCGCCACCGATAGCTACCATGCTGCCCGTGCATGTTGCAAACATAAAACCATAAGACGCGATATCAAGCTCCGAAGACCCGAGAGTTCCCGCCATCATAATGCTGAAAGCTTGCACAATATTCTGCAAAGCGAATGATGCTGATATTGGCAGCGTTGCGCGTCCTAGATTAAACACTTCGCCAGGAAGTTTGGGCAGTGACCTAAGGTCCAAGCGGCGTTGGTCCTGCAGAAGTGGCGACTCTTCAGAATCACTGTAAGAAGACATTCTTTCACGTCTTGGGGTTAAGGTGAAGATGTTATAGATAGAAATCTGCGGTGTAGGCAACAGTACTTCTGTAGAAGGGTAAGGACGGTTGCACAAAGGTTTGCGGCCTTAGCTAAATACAATCCTACTCTCGAGCGTAGGCTACTCAAAACCTTTTATCGTAGCAGCTTGACAAGAGAAGTACAGGAATGGCCATGATTACTAATCACATTAATCATCTCGAGGACCTGAATAGATGTTGTGATCAAGGTCTGCCGATCTTTGGGATGGTCCATATTTCCGAAAAGGGAAAGTATAGCCTTATTCCTATGCGCCCAAGGATATTTGGACCAGGTGTTAGTCACTACGCAGCGAAGAGGCAGTAGTCCTGACTATCATATGGAGACAGCTGTAGTTTTTATTCAGGTCCAGATATAAAGCATCAACCAAGCCGTGCTACAATCTGCGCGACACCAGTGACTTACACAAAGACTATAGTCAGGCAGTCCAAGTTGTTACAGAGTCAGTATCCAGGATGCAAATTCCACATCTCCTTGGGATCGTCTTGCTTTCGGGGACCGTTTTGGCAGCACCAAGAGCGTCTAAGTCAGTGGCTATCCATCAGCGGCCACTGATCCGGCCAGCATATCAGGAAAGTGACGAATTTGATCTGGAGCCATCTGCTCAGTATGCATTTTCTGGAATCACTACCTTCGCTCAATTACCGGCTGTCCAGTGTCTAGCCGAGGACGGACCTGTCGACGATATCCTCATTGTAGGGTTTCCTTTTGATACTGCGACCTCATATCGAACTGGCACCAGATTTGGCCCGAATGCAATTCGTCAAGGCTCTAGGGCAGTATCTCTTGCGTAAGTTCACCAAATTCGCGATGCGGATGTTTTTGATCGACTCACGCAATGAGATCTCTGTCTACACAGTCACACTAATGTTGGCTGTACAGAGGCCATTACAACTACCGGCAATCCATAAATCCTTTCAAGCAGAACATCTCTATTGTTGACTGTGGAGACTTTCCTATCTCTCCTTTTGACAATGCGCTAGCATTTGCTCAGATGGAAGAGTGGTATTTGCGCCTCTTACACCGAGAGGTGAAGAATCCTAGCAGCGGAGTCACCTCGAAAATTGTAAGTCTGTTTCTCAAGAATAACATGATCTCCTCTGATTAGAATTGATATAGACTGGGAGAAAACATCCTCAACTTGTTGCTTTAGGTGGCGACCATAGCATATCATTGCCGATTCTGCGTGCCCTCCACTCCGTCCATGGCCAGATGTCGGCCATTCATATTGACGCCCATATCGACACCTGGTCACCACAAGTCTTTGCCGGAGCTCGAGGCGCCCCTAGCGCTCAATCTGAAGTCGCTGATGGGACACCATACTATTGGGCAGGGATGGAAGGATTATTGACCAAAAGTTCAGTGCACGCTGGCATTCGCAGTAGCCTTGATTCGGAGGCCGATCTTGACCTCGATGCCGAACTTGGATTCAGAATCATTCCCGCAGCTGCGATGCTGAAAAGCGGTGGTGTACAAGACATCATTGACACAATCCGAAACATCGTCCCCCATGATTCTCCAGTCTACGTGTCGCTCGATGTTGACTCACTGGATCCCGCCTTCGCTCCTGGTACTGCCGGTCCAGCCGCAGGGGGCTGGACGTCAAGAGAAGTCATACAGATTGTTATTGATGCCCTAAGAGGCCTTGACATTGTTGGCGTTGACGTTGTTGAAGTGCTTCCGGGAATGGATTCGGCCGAAATCACAGGAGTAACCGCCGCCGAGCTGACATTCGAAGTACGTATTAAATCCATGCTTATAAGAGACTGTGATGTTAATTATTTAACAGTTGATCACAACTCTTGTGAAAAATCGATTGGAGTAGGGCTCTCGTTGATTTGATGCTGCTCCAAGGCTGGATACTTGTTGTGCACCAAGAATCGTCCTAGTCTCCATGCTCTATTTGAGAAGTTACTTCAACAATTCTGGGCCTACTATGATCTTCGTAGCACATATAAGAATACAGTCTGTATCTCCATAATTATCATAGAAGTATCAGGCTCAATCATACCTTGATGTGGCCTGAAAATTCTCGAAGATGCGTTGGACAAAAGACTTCATCGGAGAATGATATGTAACTTGACCTCCTCTAAAGCGAAATCCAAGCGAACTTTGTTGTACAGGGATTTATCTTGAACTAGGCTAGGCTCAGCTATCACGCACTTGTGGGGTTGTGTTTCACATAATACCATCTCTTGCTTCTAATATCTAGGCGTAATCTCTACGTGGAAACTATGGTGCATGAAGCACATAGCTGTAAGTGTTTGATTTCTTTTCTTGACATGTATTATAGACTACTAACTGATCTGCTTTGTACACTTCACTATGATTGATCGAGCCAAGATTTGGTATATGTGAGAAGGTCCTGAAACACATCATATCGCATTTGGCTTGCCGCGAAGTGTTACCTTCTGCCTACTTGTAGGAATAAGCGTATTTATACTCTGGAGGGCCTTTTTATCACACCTCTCAATATTTTTGTTTACAAAGGGTTGGCAATTCACTAATTCCGCGCTATTTCAAGGGTTCAACTTTCTCGGTGTACGCGGAACTGTCAGAGCATTGGACCCCTAGTATTTCTCCACACTTCAGCTGACACTAGCCCAGAGATCTACAGTCTGACTGCCAGAAAAGTCCTTATGTTGTTGGCCTTGCCTTTCACTAGACAGGTCTTGACCCTTTATTCAAATGTTGAATTCCAGCTGTAAATTCTGGTGGAATTAAAATGGTTCGGTCTTTTCACCTCTCGCTGTTGCGATCCTTGACTCTATCATATATTTTTGGGGTATATCAGAAGGCCGCAACAAAACGATCAAGCACGAGTGATTTCCAATATAACCTACTGAATATAATACGGCATACCTCATAGGATCACTTATTTCTGAAGGGTAAAGACAGCAATTTCACGCCCGACAGATCCGACAGATTTAGCTTCAGAGACCCTTGCTGAACCACCCTTCAAGGAACCGTAAAACATGGCGAGGACCAAGCTAAGATATGCATGTTTGTGTTGTCGAAATCATGATCCCCTGGTCGGGCTGGAAATATACTGGTCAGCTCCGAACTAAGTGCACTACATGCCTCTCAATTGCCGATTTGGGGACACTACTTATGCGTGGACTAACCATAACAATTACATATTCCTGACCGCCGTTCAATTGGACTTAACTTTTCTTGACAAATCTCTACTTACTGCTGATTTGGAACCGGGGATAATCTTGACCAGCTAGCTATGACAGAAAGCTCAAAATTTATGTCCTCAAGGGGCCGAAATATATATAGACTCCTCTCCTTCAGTATACATGGTCTCCTTTCGTGCAATCTTTATCTTACAGGAGAAGAGTCCCCAGAGTTATTGACATCGGAAGGTCAACACCGGCAAGATCCTCGCCATGCTCCACCAACAACGTAGCTTACTTTCCGCGGCCGCAGTTGCGGCGGCTGTGACCACAACTTTGGCTGGTCCCGCAGTTGTGCCAAAGCACAATGTCGCAACTGAGACCACAATTGATTTGGTTGATCCTCCAATGGTCACTGAGGTCGTGCCCGTGTTCTCAGAAATCTTAACAAGCATCGAGACCCCCGGCAAAATCACACTCGGACTCGGCTGCGGCCTGCTCGGTCTCGGCTGTATTGCTAAGACAATAAGCATAGAGTCGCCAACCGTGTGCACCGTGACTGTTGTCGACACCAAGACTACGACTGTGCCTTGTTCAACATCCACAACGTATACAGAGTGCGGGTGGGAGCAAGAGTGCGGATGCACCACTACCAAGACTTATCGGTGGACACCACCGGCATCTGGGCATACCCGTAGTGCCTATCCGAGTTGCCCACAGGTCTCCAGTCCTGTCACTGTGATCAGCACGGCTGTCTCTACAGCTGTGGCGACTGTAACCACGACAACTACGGCCACTCTGGCAGTCACACCAAGCACAACCTCGACCTGTCCCGCGACCACGGCCTCCGCCTTATCCTGCGACAAGTACGGCTATCTGATACAGCACGTGGAGTTGATCCGAGTTGATCTTTTGTCGGGCACCACGACTACTGTGACCAACAGCGTGGGCAATGGTGATGGTGCCAACGCTTTGGCTTATAACCCTCTGGATAATTATCTTTATGCACGCCAAGGCACGAAAATTGTTCGAATCCACGCTGATGGCACTACGGATGACATTCTTGATCTCCCATCCGCCACAACTAATGTCTTCGTTGGTGATATTGACGAGACGGGCTTTTTCTGGGTTTCTAACGGCGGGTCGGACTGGTATAAGATCGATATGAGGCCTCTATCGTCCACGTTCGGTCAGTTCCTAGCGAATGGTACTGTTGCCAAGCCCGTCAGCATTGCAGATTGGGTTTACTTCCCGTTCGGGGGCTCCTACTTGTACTCGCTGGGAGCGATCAACAAGGGCATCAGCCTGGTTCGCTTCAGTCTGGACACATTTAGTTTCTCCACTGTCCGGACCCTGCCCCAATTGGCCTACCACACGTATGGCGCACAGTATGGCATGAACAACGGGACACTCTACGCGTCCGACAACACCGACGGCACGATTTGGGCGATACCGATCGACGGAAGTGACCCTTGGATCTCATCTCAAGGGCCTAAGTCATCATCGAATGATGGTGCACGATGTGTTTGGAATCTCGTCATCTAGCTTGTCATACTCCATATAGTATAGCACAAAATTGCACCAAGGAATGTTGGATCGTGAGCTTTCGACTTTTCAAATAAAATAGCGCGTAAAAGCTGAGGCACGGCTCCTGAAACTGCCGCTGTTGTAAGTGATTGATGTTGGCCACCTAAATTGAGTAGGTACCCCAGCGCCATTCAATGTGGCTTAATGCGATGTACCCAAAAGGAGAGATGGAGGGATCTATTGACCCGGCTTCTGCAGGTCGAGAAGGTCTGAGGTAGGAATATCTCCGTAGGAGAGCCTTGCTATTGGCAGCGCGGTATGATAGAATAATACAGAAATTGTTTTGAGACATATCATTGGTTGGCTGCGCGACCCACGTCAATAAATCAAGCCCGCTACGTAATTCCTGAGTCAGGAGCCCGCAGCTTTGCCTTGTCGTTGCGCTCTGCTGCGGGTTTCTGCGGCGTCTTGCGTTGTTTGCGGCATTGCGTTACCACACTGCATCGTGTCGCGGCCACCACGAAATTAACAACATAGCGTGATTGATTATTAACAATCAGATCGCTTGCAAAGGCTGAATGACTAACGAATTGCATCTAGGCAATGGAGATGCTCCAACAAGCTTGAAAATAACTACTACTGCAGGAATTGTATATATAAAGGCACAACACCTCTCTGCCTCAAATCAAGCCCTTGTGCATCACAGCTCCGAGAGTGAAGACGCAAGACATATCAACTCACTCATACATCCCCAATCCCTCTCCGCAAATTCTTTAAGAAAAAGAAACCTTGGCCATACCGCCATCATGCCCTCATACTTAATCACTGGTGCGAGTCGTGGTCTTGGACTTGGCTTTACCGCCGAGCTCGTATGTTGACGAGCTACTTGTGAAGTCTAGATACAGCCCGCTAACGCCATTTCACAGCTCAAAGACAATAACAACACTGTTGTGGCGACTGCCAGGAATACTGCAGGCTCGTCGGGTCTGCAAGAGCTGAAGGCTCAAGACAAAGACGGCCGCCTCCTGCTAATCGATCTCGACGTTACCAAGCCTGAGAGCATTAGTGCAGCCGTTAAGAAGACAGCTGAGTTGCTTCCTAGTGGGCTGGATAATCTCATTAGCAATGCTGGTGTGAGCTACAATGCGCTGAAAAACTTTGAGGAGCTGTAAGTCCAGCTTCTGCCGCTATTTCATGGTTGTGTTAAAACAAACTAACGTGGTGAGACAAGGGATATGACAGAGCTCACAGCTGAGCTAGACTTTACAGTGACCGCACCGATTCAGGTCATCCGGGAATTCCTCCCCCTCATTCGGAAGAGTGAAGCCAAGAGGATTTTGGTTGTCACGTCAGGCCTAGGTTCAATTCAGAACGCCGTTTTCCTCCCCAACCTGGCGAATGGCTATTCCATTGCCAGGGCTGCGTTGAACATGTGAGCTCTCTTCGCTGCGATTTCTTAATCAACCATGTCCTAATCTGAGGTTATATGACAGGGTGGTTCGAAAATGGTCCCCTCTCTTGAAGCCCGAGGGTGTCACTATTGCTCTACTTCACCCAGGTAAGACTAGTTTCGGCTTATTGTGTTCCGATATATCGTCCCAAATCGTTTACCAGTCCACTAACCAGATTGTTGAAGGCTGGGTTAGCGTTACTGAGATTGGCGACGGTATCTCCGAGTGGATGGCGAAATACAACCCGACCATGGAGAATCTCACTGTTGAGGCATCAGCCGCCAACTCTATGAAAGTGCTGAACGGGTTGACGATCGAGGGATCTGGGGAGTTCTTCAATCATGATGGCACGAAGTATCCTCTTTAAGCGTGAGAAGGTGTTCCGATAGAGTAGGTTGTTTGTGGAGAGATTGACGAGGGTTCAAATCTGGTTGGCAGAAAACTTAAGCGCGTTTCGATAGACTCTGATGATATGGCAATTTCTCGCGCTTCCAGAACATGGAGATAAATACCTAATACACTGTCAATTATACGCTTCCCACGCGATATTGTGCGTTCTGAACTCACCTGAGAGTCGCCATCTCATTCCAGTTCGTCCAAGGAGTAGCCTGAGTGTTGCTATTTTGTCTCTGATTTCTCCATCCGATGAGGTCTGCGCAAGCCTTAGAAGAAGACAGGTTACCTGATACATGACGTGTAGCAGGAATATAGGCACAATATGCGGTGCATCTGGAACAGTGCGGCATGTGGCAATGTAGGATGCAGCCGCGGCAGTTAAGCGATCTAACGCTGTGCGCGTTTCCGGCCATAGCTTCTCCCACGAGATCCCGAAGTGCTCATCCTCAATTCCAAGCTGTCCATCACGCGATTTGTACTGTTCAAGTAACAAGATAGTGCTGTATTCAGTTAGAATCCACTGTATCACATCTGAAAGACTACTGACCTGAGGCTGAGTGCTGACTGGGCACAATACTCTAGCTTCCTTATCGTAGCTTCACTGTCTGCAGCATGGACTAAGGCAAGTAGTGTGCGCCGTAGCTGTGCAGTCTGGTCAATTTGACTTGCATCGCGTTCCCCAGAATTTGGCGATATTGATCGTAACGCTTGGCTGAGCAAGTATGTAGCCTGCGCCAACCTAGCAAAGCTCCCCATCTTGAGGTCAAATCCGGTTGAAATCCTGACGCCATCTCCTGGATTTGACTTTCCAGTCAATATCTGTCAGTATCGCCTTTTATGTGCGCCAGCGCGAACCGTTTTGCTTACCCAGTCATCCCATACAGCATCGTCTACTGGAAGGAATGCTTCAAAAGACGGATCTTCGGTCGATAATGGCCGCGCAGGGTTACTAAGACTTAAGAACCTAGAGAATTGGACCAATTACTTATTCTGAGCCAACAATATACTCCTGGTACCAGAGGTGGTGACTTACCGATCGAACATCAATACCGCCCACCATGCCCTCCTTCTCTCTTCGACCTCGTTCCATGAGCGTGGACCATCACCATCGCCGCTCCAGCCCGTCGAAAGGTTGTCTACGCCTAGTGCTAGCCCATATCTGGCGCAAGCACCTACGCTCAAATAAGCAGCTGGATAGATGGCTTGGGCCAGTTCGTAAAGCGCAATCATGATGCCCGCTTGAAGTGTATGAATAGACAGAACTCCCGCAGTTTCCGCCTCAAAATGAAACCGCTTAGCAGCACGATAGATTTTAGCTGTTTCGTTCGCATCGCCGTTTCCCTCTGGCGGAGGAGTACAACATAGTTTCATGCATATAGCAAGGAGACTGAGTTCAGTGTGTCGGCGGGCCAAGGGGTTGAGCAAGTATGCAAAGAATCCCTTTTTCGAAACAATCGGTAGCCACCGATGAATGGTTCTGAAGAACCGTGTCGAAATTTCACGGACGGACGAGGCATCTCCCAGTATCGTCAATACTTCGGATGGGATTGGGATCTCGGGTCGTGGGAATTCGAGCCGCGCCTGCTGGAAGATGTGTGGCGCAACAAAGTAAATCGCATGAGCATCCGATTCTACAGAGCCAGAAACTCCTAATGGCGAGAGTCCTTGCTGGCCATACTCATAATCGGGTGAAGAGCCATGCGCAGGAAGGGTTTCGGGACTTCGACCAGCCGGACTTTGGTGGACTGCCAATACTGACTGGCTTCCTGTCTGACGACTGGGATAAACACAGTCAACCTCCTTGCGCATGCACAGGTCGCAACTGGGGAGCTTTCGGTCACAGCGCCTCTTACTTCGTCTGCAAGGGAGGCACGACTTACGCGCGTATGCTACAGGCTCGCTTTCTTGGGACATTGCTGTGAAAGGCACTGAAGATCTTGCAGGTGAACGGAAGATGCGGCTGGTTGCGGGGATATGCGCTTGTCTGCGCTGACTCGCGGTGATTTGGCAAAAGACTTCGCCGTCGGAGCTCGCAACCCCGACATGCCGAAGTCGTTGCCTCCAGTCAAAGACGCCTAAACGACTGGGTCATGAATTTGGGCTCAGCGCATGAAATTGCATTCCAGGGTAGCGCTGCCTGTGCTATTGGATGGGCATATGCGACAGGACACATGTGGCATCGAGCTATTTTAACAAAAACACAAAGTGATTTACTAATCGGCCTACTCATTAGCAAGCTGTAACACTACCCTTCTCCGTGTCTGCAATGGGACGGCCCATTTGATTCGATTTGACGCTAAACCAATCTCTCGAATTCTGGGAAACGTGATACTCCTCAATGCCCGAAATTCTGAGCTCCAAGATAACAGCACCAGAAAAAGGGACAGCTTTAGCATTGCTAACTACTGTTAGGCCATGCAACATCTCCACTCAGGAGCCAGCCCCTCTCCAGCGCCTCCACTACTCCACGCCACTTTTCCACAGCTCTTTCCCCTCTCGAGCCTCCTTATTTTCCCTGGTGGCCGACCTGTGAGGCCTATGATTAACAAAGTCAGACTTGTCAAGCCTCCAAATTTAGCCTAAATGTGACATGTGAAGCTCGAGGCTGAGGCTGTCGTTGAGCTACATGGGATAGGTATACACCTGGACTGTCATCCAGCTGCTTCCTCGACTGCAAATTGTTCTCATGGCTGCAATTAATCCAATTATTCCCGGCTTCTCACCTGACCCCTCAGTGGCCAAGGTTGAGGACTGGTTCTTCCTTGTCAATTCATCATTTCACCTGTTTCCTGGTCTGCCTGTTTATGCCTCTAAAGACTTGGTATGTTGGAAGCAGATTGGTAAGTGTCCCGCCGGTGACAATTTACGAGTGCTTTCTAATCACTGGAGTAACCAAGGGTAGGCAATGCAATCAATCGGCCGGGTCAGTTAAGTCTTTCAAGGTCCGACACGAAGATTTTACCTCTCTCTGAATCTGGCGACTCGATGCTGGCAACAGGTGGACTATATGCACCAACAATCCGATATCACAACGACACATTTTACGTGATCTGCACCAACTGTAAACGCGGAGACAGTTACGAAAAAGATGGACAGGACAAATCTGAAAACTTCGTCGTCTCATGCAGTGACATTTGGTCGAATGAGTGGAGCGACCCTGTCTACTTTGAGTTTGATGGGATCGACCCCAGCCTTTTCTTTGAAGACGGGAAAGCCTACGTGCATGCGTCGGCTGCACCTGGACCTTGGACCAAGATCAATCTGTTCGAAATAGATCTTAGCACGGGAGAGAAGCTCTCTCCAGAGAAGACGATCTGGGAAGGCACGGGTGGTGTCTGGCCTGAAGGGCCGCACATTTACAAGAAGGATGGGTGGTACTACTTGATGATTGCCGAGGGCGGTACGCACGAGAATCACATGGTTGTCATGTCACGCTCTCGAGACATTTGGGGTCCTTACGAGGCATGCCCGAATAACCCAATTCTCACGGCCAGAGGTACCAACGAGTATGTCCAATATACTGGTCATTGCGACGCTTTCCAAGACGAGCAGGGACAGTGGTGGGGTGTCTGTCTTGCCGTGCGTAAGGACACTAAGGGAAGGTACAATATGGGACGAGAGACCTTCATCACTCATGGTACTTGGAATGGCGATTGGTTGTCATTCGATACCGTCAAGATTACACCGGAAGATCTGGCACCCCCATCAACCGGTATTGCAGTACTCACCGCGGCGCCATCTGCTGACCTGATCTACATCCGAGATCCCGAGATAGGGCGGTACAGCATCCTCGACAGTGGTGCGGAAGTAGCACTGACCGCATCACTCATTAATTTTACCAACCCACGACTATCTCCAACATTTATTGGCAAGCGACAACGGAAGTTAAAGGGTAGAAGCAGCGCAACGCTTAGAGGTAGCAGTGTATCTCAGTCGGCCAAATTCAAGGCTGGAATTGCATGCTATAAAGACGAACATCGATTTCTTAGAATCTTCTACGATGTGTCGACATCCATCGTTACATCCGAGCTCAGAAACAACGCCAAACAAATTTATAAAACAGAGAGTCGCGAAGTCCAAGGTGCCGATAGTCATATAACCTTCCGGATATCTTACACAGAGGCAGAGTACCGTCTGGAGTACACAACGCAGCAAGACCCTGATTTACCTTTCACAACCATGCAAGTAATCGACACGCTAGATATGACGGGGCCAGATTTCGTTGGTCCAGTAATTGGCGTCTTTGCCGTTGCCGAGGCTGGAGAACCGGTGGTTGAGTTCGCTGGGTTTTCCGTGGAGTGAGCTTCTCATATAGAAACTACGATGAAAGAAGGCTCTTTCACAAGGCGATAGAGTATGATGGGGAGGCATTTTCTTGTGCGGGGGTATGATTGTGGTTCTTCGCCTTGCATGAAGACGAGGCTACTCCTATACTGTATTCAAGGTGGAGAACAGTATTCCGGTTAAATTCGCATTCGTTTGCCAAACTTTCGACTTTGCGCCAAATTGCCTCTAATTCTGCTATTTTGCTTTTAGCTGCAGCGTGGCTGCGGCGTAGACTATGTAGTGCGGTGTTCAGTGATTAGCGTGTGTGATGATACTCAGGAGAGCAGGGCGTGATCGGGGCGTAACCGAGGTCCCGCGGCCCTGCGTTGATGTAGAATATCTATGCAGTATATGGATGTCTTCCAGCCGACCCAACCATGTCCTCCATGCCCTGACAGTGAAGTCGGCATCTAATTAGAATGGACGCCCATTACAGCGAATTGCAGAGAGAAGTCGCCTCGCGATGAGTTTTTTAAACCAAGAAAGAAGCTGTCTGTGGAAAAGCTATAAAGCTACTTTGTCCTTTGGATTTTGCCTATGAACGAAGGAAGGCTATTCCTGCTAACTTGAGAGCGATACGCGTCAAGAACTTTGCTGGAATGCATGTGCCATGGTTGGGGCTATGCAGATAAAAATTTTTGCTCGAGCAGCAGGCCGTAGTAGGCCACTTCAAAATAAAACTACCAGGATTTTGTTGACACGCCGTATCATCTTCTGCTTTTCTGTTCTTATATTCCTCTCTTCTATTCTTCCACCTTCATACCAATTGTAGGTCATCCTTCAGAGAATAGGGAAGTCAACAAATGCACGCAGCGGTGAAGCCGCCTCCTTGCCTGTTTCCAACGTCTTCACTCATTACCAACTGACGTCCGCCCAATCTTCCCTCCCGAAAAAGGCGACCTTCCTATGACTGCTTTATTGTTTTATATGACGAAAACGTCCGAAAAGAATGTCATGTTGAGAACCCCGATGTGGCATCCGATTGAAGCGAATGCAAGTCGTCACTGGAGTGAAGGATAGGCTCAAGGAAGTCGTCGAATAGTCCAAATTCACCGGCGGGCTGATATTCGGTCCCAGTAACTAGATCTGAAGCTAGCATGCTAAGCTGGTGGTTTCGTTGTTCCCTTCTTCGTGGAGTTGCTTTTGGCTTGTTACGTGGGTTTTTGGAGCAGACTTCGCAGCGCTTGAGTAGGAAGATAAGATCCGAGCGGGGAATGCCATAGTACGCCGCGCTAAGTGCTTTCCACGTGGCGTCCCAGCCGCCATGCTGGCTCTCCTCCACATGCACATACTCCACTGCATCGATGATCATATCCTCGGTGACGACCAGTCGCTGCCCGGCCTCCCTCAATTTAGACTTCGCGAAAAGCCGGTGAGTGGACTCGTCCCATGAGAATGCGCTTTGAACATAATTCCGGCGACTAAATTCTGCCTGGGATGCGGGTTGTTTGGAACGGTCCAACAGCCATTCAATGAGCTCTTTCTCATCGGTCGTAGATACACGTGATTTGTTCGGATGTTTGGCCAAGTAATGGTGAAAAGCTTCTCGAGTAGCTAGTGTGAATGTAGACACGCCGAAAGTCGTCTGAGGGGCGGTCATATCCGATCTTCCGATAGGATGTCTCTCCTCTCATTCGGGCCCATTGGTTAAAGGATGAGCCCTCGATCTGAAGAGTGATTCTACTGTAGAGCGGTTGGGCAGCTACCTTATCGTCGGTTGCAGATGTCCTCGACTGAGGGCGTATCTCGACCGAGGGCGTATCTCGACTGAGGGCGTACCAGCCCCGCGATAACCCAACGTCATCGACGCTTCAGCATGGCGACGCACCTGGTTTCCGATTTCATAGCAACTTCCTCCTTATGGCGGAGTTTGCGAGTGCACTAGTTGCGCTCGTTGGTGCAGGTGCTAAGGTGGGTGGTAGCCTTTACACACTCATCCATACTCTTAAAGATGCTCCCAGTGAGTTCTTTGCGTTGTCAGACGAGATCGCGGACTTCAGATCTATACTTTCCAGGCTTTTGGACACCGTCACATCCGAGGACGTGGTGGCTATTTGCGGTCGACAAGCCAATGATATAGAGATAATGAGACTAAAAGGAGAGCAGACTGTGAAGGAGATTGAGGTGCTGGTGGCCAAAGTTCGCAAGGAAGGCCAGGCGGGAGAAAAGAGTAACCAGGTCAAGAAAATTAGATGGCTTCGAAATGTGAGCCAGGCAGAGAAATTGCGAGAGAGGCTACGGGCTCAGAAGATAACCATTTGCAACTTCATTGCCTTGGTGATCATGTATGTGGTGGAACCTCCACAAGTGCCTTGCGGTTCACAGACAATCTCTGACGCATCTACATAGGACGACCAGTGCGCGAAATGGACTGCGCATATCACACCTGGAGATGAAGCTAGACACGGCAGTGCAGCGCCATCATTTGCTCCTGGAACACCAGTCCGAGATGCTCGTCAAAATAGAGAATTCGCTCAAACAGCCTTCCGATCGTCCCGAGCTGAAGCAACCCCAACGACCGACTATGCAGCCCGGCAACGCGTCGTCCGAAAACGACAAGATCGGGGACCAATCTCATTTGCTGCTCAAGCAGCGGGCGGTATGCGACTCAGGCGTGTTGCAGTGCTTGAAAGACTGTCCCTGTCGGTGCCACTTCCGCACAGTGGTGCGATCACCGCAACTCATCACGGAGTGGTTTGGCGACTTATTACTCGGCTGCGCCAGTCTGCCTTGGTATTTGTCTGGCCTGATTGCCTGCAACGAGCAAACATGTCGCCGTAGCCGGCAGCCGGCTTCGGACATCCAATATTTCCTACCCCGTTGGACGAGCCAGGTTGTCGGTAGCTTCAGCATCACCTTCAATATACGGCGCCCGCCCATCCATGTCTGCGTGCACACCCGCTGCATCATCCCGTACGATTCGGCAATCCTCATATGTGCCCAAGAAGGAGATGTAGATGGTGCAAGGAAGCTTCTCCTCTCAGGGCAGGCATCGATCAACGATGTCGACCCTTACGGTCTTGGCGTTCTCTATGTAAGTGCTCGAGGTGCACTCCGCTATGGTGCCGCGGGGGTGAATCGTGTGCCTCAATCGCTGACTACGGTGTGGCAACAGTATGCAGCATACTATGGTTGGAGAGCATCCGGACGCGACGCAGCAGTGAGGATGTGTCGTTTCCTTCTTGACGTGGGAGCCAGCCGGGACTGGGACGATGAGATCGGAAAGTATGATTTCCCATTTCATTCACGAGTGAACGGCTTCGTTTTACTGACCCCCGCGCCTATGCAGCACGCCCAAGGAAACCATGATCGACAACACACTCGTGTCTCTAGCCATGACACACAGCGACGTAGACATACGCGAAACCAACGACTTCGTTCATATTAGCCAGCTGTTTGGAGAGTCAACGGCCTGCCTGATCGAGAACTTCGTCGAGGATCGAGGCCTTAGCGTCCTCCACCAGGTGCTGCTCGGAATCGACCGTAGCCATGGAACGCTGGACGAATACCTTGCTGGGTTAGGACAATGTCCGCTTCCGCCCGATACGATAGATGCTGTTGACTCATGCGGCAGGTCGGCACTAGCTTGGGCAATCGAATACATGTGGCACGATGCGGCCAGAACGTTACTGAAGTATGGAGCTGACCCTCGCCAGTCTAGGCCGAGTCTTCGGGGTAGTCTGCCGATGTTACACCTGGTCATCGCGTGTCCAGCCATACAAGAAGCGGTGAAACCGTCCGTCGATACCATTAGATTGCTACTTGAGCACGGAGCCGACGTCAACGGCCTTGATCACGAAGGCTGGACTCCGTTACATGTTGCAGCATCCTGGAACAACGCCGCTGTTATCAAAGAGCTTGCTCTCTTCGCGAACGGCGCGCTGGCGTGGGATGCCATGACGGCAGACAACCAATCAGCCGTGGACTTGGCGCTCGGCGCTGGCTTTGACGCCGAAGTTCAGCACATACTGCAGCACAAGGGGGACTTTGACAGCGAGGAATTCTACGACTGCGTCGAGTAGTATGGTTGCCTTGGCATGATGTCTTCTCGTGCAGTTTCTTCAGTTCAGCGTGGTGTGATCTCGGAATGATGGAATGCGTGCAAGGTAAAACGCTTGATAGAGGTATGACATGTGTATGTGAAGGGAAAGGGTTTTTTTTGGCGCAGGCCTCACTCGATAGTACAGTACGGGTGCCTTGTAGATATTCTCCTTTGGTAGGGAAAAGTAAATTCAAAACTATGGTGTCTAGGCCCGCCAGTTATCGAGTAAATAGAGTAGTTCAGTATGAGCGCCAAATTCGGCAGGCGGTCAATAGAGGTGCGGCAGAATTCGGTTGACTGACAAAATGCTGCTCCTCGTCCCGCAATTAAGTGACTACCCCTAATAAGACAAGCTTCCCTCTCTCTATACGGCACTCCACACAAGGCGCCAGCATGCTCTACCGAAAGCACTACATACCTCTCGAATCTAACCCGACTCTCTTCACCGAGCTGACCCATACTCTTGGTCTCTCTAACGCCCTAGAGTTCCATGATGTTCTGTCACTGGACGACAACGACCTCCTCGCCCTCATCCCGCGACCGACCCTCGCTCTCATTCTCGTCTTTCCCACCCCGCCCAACTACGAGAGCGAAATCGTCAAAAAAGATCAAGATGCTACCGAATACGTAAAAAGAGGGGAGGAGGAGGATGTCATGTGGTACAGGCAGACCATCAACAACGCATGCGGACTATATGGCATACTGCACGCAGTGAGTAATGGTGCCGCGCGAGACTTCATTGGTGAGCAATGCTCTCAGAGGAAATTCTACTGTCGGATTCCTTCATTGACGAGCTTTCGATTCATCTCTTAGTCCCCGGTTCGCATCTAGCCCATCTCCTGGCCTCCTGCACACCCTTGAAACCTCTAGATCGCGCTTCCGTCCTAGAAGACGATGAGCAGCTAGAGTCAGCTTACAAAACAGTCGCCCTGCAAGGGGACTCGGAAGTCCCCACCAACCCTGAGGATGAGGTCGACTTTCACTACGTCTGTTTCGTCAAGTCTCACAAGAACGGCCACTTGTACGAACTCGACGGCGACCGAAAAGGTCCCATAGACTGGGGACGGTTGGATCCGGATGATGATGTTCTTTCTGATATGGCACTCGGCGCCATTCGCGATTTCATTCAACGCATTTCGAAGGCCGTGGGATTCAGTCTTCTCGCTCTAGCTCCAGTGGAATAAGGTTACATTGCCCATTAGTCAGAGAACAATTCGGAGACTTGGTCATCGCAGTGACTGGATTGGAAATCATACCTAAGTCTAAGAGACTAGTGGACGATGGCACTCCCATTCGAGCAGCGGCTATGATTGCTCTCACCTTTGACCGCCGGCGTCATGTTGATATCGGACCATAATGTTATCTGTCGGGATATTGAGTGGACCTTGGCTGAAGTTTAATCGAGGTTGTCTGGCTTGCTGTTGTGAGGACGGACGGATGAGGACATAGCTTACATAAGCCTTTCACTGGCCCCACACTAGCTCTTACTTAGCTCACCACTTCTCAGAGAGACATAGCTTTGCGAGAGAACAACAATACAGAAGAAATGCACAGCACAGTTTCGTGAAGCCTACGTGAAGCGTAGCCGGTCAAAGCCCGTGATCCTATCCCATCTACCGGACGTGAGCCTTACACTTGCGCAGGAAGCTGTGAGTAGTTACACTAGCGAGTTGAGTTGCTCGGACTGGGGATTATGCTGGGACAGGAAGGGGCCAATTGTGTTGTATTTTTGCAAAAATAATATGTATGGTAAGAAGAATGAGTAACTTTAGCATTGCATTATTATTAGTTCTTGTTAACCTACAGGGGAGTGATAGTGTAAAGTATATACTTTTTAAATATCCTAGTTACTGATATAATGTGTTTCCAATATTGAGGCTACATGTTGAAGTCAGATACACTCTTATAGAGGCGGCCGGGACTACCAAATCTGAAGCCATGCGCCTGCTAAAAACAGAAGTCCTAACCACGGCACATGTTGTATGGCTGGAATACAGAATCGTTCCTTCTCTGTAGGCACATTCATCCCAATTATGGTTGTTCAATATGCTCAAGGCTCCTCCACATGAACACCTCCGGCGCTAAAACCCTTTTCGCCAACCTGCTCGAGTTCAGTCGTGGCCGCCTGTGCGACATCGTCGCCATCGAATAGCTTGGTGATTTCCTCGAGAGCCAGGTACTTGGTCTCAACAAAGAAGAAGTAGATAATAAGCAGCTCAGCAAGCAGAAATACGCAGTAGAAGATGTAGTATCGCCACTGGATGTTGTCAAGAGCAATCGAGTTGACGTATTGGTTGAAGAATAGGGTGACATATAGAGCATATTCCATAGCGGTGTAGCCCTTGGCACGCATGTGGTAGGGAAGGATCTCGGTAGTATAGCTGGCAATCAAGCCAGACCTGGAAGTAAATCTAGGTTAGCGTGGTACTGAGACAAAACAGTAAGGGAACATACTTCAGGTTGTATGCGAGGTAGTAAAGGAATATCATTACCACAACAGCCTTACCGAGACTGTTGTCCGCATGTATAGCGTAGCGTGCCGAGATGATCGTCCATATAACGAAGCATACCAGCATCCCTACAGTTGAGATAATCTGGATGCGTCTTCTTCCCCACTTGTCTACGAAGAAGCTGAAGAAGACATTTGTGATAAGACTGAATGTCGTCAGACCACCGTTAATTCCAAGTTGCGACTTCGCGTCTGTGATCCCAATGTCGTTGAGAATCGTAGTGAGATAATAGGACACCAAGCCGTTTCCACTCCACTGTGAAAACAATCCGACGCAAACCACGATGAACAGTCTCCACCGATTTCCCTTGGTTCTGAAGAAATCAAGATAAGAGAAAGACTTGTTGTTCGCCTTTTCCATGGCCAAAGCGGCGGTAATTTCTGCAAATTCGAGTTGCACAACCTCATCACGTTCATCACCATTGGCGTGATAATGAGCAAGGACTTTCAATCCCTTTTCGGGCTGATCTCTCGCAACGTAAAATCGAGGGCTCTCTGGAATCCACCAAATAACAGCTAGCATGAGCACTGTGAATAGACCTTGGATCAGACTCGGAGCGCGCCATGACCAATCGCTGGGGATTTGCAAAGTGCCGTAGGTAGTCCACGCCGCGATGAAGGCGCCCGAGTGATAGGTGGCACCGGCTAATGTGACCAAGACAGCGCGGTCCTGCGCTGGGGCAATCTCCGCGATCAACAGCGGCGCTGTGCAAATAACGATGATATCGCCAAACCCAAGGATCAAGCGAGCTGCCACGAACATGCCTGTTATGTGCAAAAGTATCAGTCTTTCGCTCTGTTCATATGACAATTCGCGGCATTGTGGGTGTGGTAAGGAACGTACCAAAATTTCGAGCACCGGACTGCAGGCCAACACCTAAGAGCATAATGAATGATCCCAGAATCAGACTAGGCTTTCGGCCCCAATAATCCATGATGTAGGGGAGGAACAAAAGTCCAATGAGTGCTCCAACGCTCATAACACAATTGAAAAGCCCAAGTATAGAGCCAGAGGGATGATCAAAGTAGTCTTGCCAGTAGCTGAGAGCCTGAAGACCGTTCATCATGGAATTATCGAAGCCATTGGCCGTATTAGTAGCAATAAGCACGATAATGTAGAAGTAAAGGGCTCTCATTTTAGGTTCTTTGTACCATTTTCGACGAGGAAACGCTCTACCGGCCTATACAGATAGTCAGAATGTGCTTGTGATAGCGCTTATTGAGTTCATACGCACAAGGTAGAACTCTCCCTTCGGAGGTTTAACATCTTTGGAACCTGTCACATCAACCATGTTGACCGGTGTGACTGTAACAACATGTTAATCGCAATACTCAATTTGCAGGTTTATGGTACTTTGTTGAAAGTCTCTACGAATTCGATTTTCGGAGGAAATTGGAGTTCTTAAATGTGCTATCCACAGCCCGCCAACTCTTCCCCACAATCCCCATGGGTAACGAGGTGCATGGGGCCAAGCTAGGCCGAGGTTATGCGCCTATGATTTGGGGGAGGGATGTGGAGAAATGGGGTTTGAAGGCCTCAGTCGAACTGTTGCTAGTATACCAGGTTTGGTTTCAAGCATCCTGGCCGACCAGTCAACAAGTTCATGATGATTTCAGACCGAAAGATTTAGCCTAAAGATTTCAGCCTAAAGATAATGCATGGGAGCCCTTGACCTTGCAAGAACGCCCGGCGTGGACTACACAAATCTAGGAGAAAGATAGCCTGGTGAGATTTGACTGAAGGAAGAACTAAATCCATTTAGCGAGCTCGCTTAGGTCCAAGCAGACCGACTCTCAGCAGTCCAAGGCGCTGGAACTGGCAACGCTCCGATAACAACGACACGCGGTTATTTCCGGCCAGAGTTGCCCAAGGCCTAATGATTCCACAGGGCCGTAAATGACGCTATTCACAGAGCGTAGATCTGGCGCGGTCCTGAGCTGGTGCTAAAATCATGAGAGGTTAGTAGTTTCTAGAAGGAGATCAATTCCTTTGCCGTGATTACAAGTAATCCGGTGAGAGGCAGGAACCTCATTGTATCGTGTGTCGAACCCAGAGGATAATGCTTGCGTCAAGGTGTTGTATCCTCAGATAATTCTGTTTGGAGACTCCCTCGTACAGGGATGTACCGAAGCAACCAAGGGCTTCTCATTTCAAGGAGCGCTTCAGTCCTGTAAGTAGCCACGATTCTCAGTTTCTCTTCACAGCGATTCCTGTCGATATATCACTCACCCACAGTCCTAGCTGTCTTGCGTTATTTTGATGTGGTAAACAGGGGATTCTCGGGCTACAATGCCAAGAATGCCCTTGAAGCACTTCCCCTTTTCAATAGTAGCCATGAACTTTTCAAGAGCAATTCCAGCGCGTGCCTCTTTAGGCTCGATTACACATATCATCGCTGTAACCCATTCAGACAAACCTCTTTTCTCACGTCTGCTCCCAACATGAGAAGTCAATCTACCCAATCCACATTGATATCAATCTCGTCGCCGCCGAGACTCTTTTTTCCGCTTCTTACGAGTGTCTCCCACATGGCTGTCTGGAGCTTTTCAGCAAACCTTGCCTCCCCTGGAACATCAAAGTCTAGTTCACGATCCCGGCTGATCATGCTCATGAAACCTTTCTTCGCCTCCTTCGCCACGGCCAGATCGCCATTGTGGCTGAGCTCCTGGAGGCGTCGTCTCCAGCACAACCATCGCCTCAAGCTGAAGCCGTGTTCTTCAATACCTAAGCATTATGCCCAGGCTCCGGGTGCAATCAAGTGAGCATCGGATTGGTCCTTGTAAGACCTGTTCAGAGCAGAAAGCGTCAAGAGACTATAGGAGCAGTGCTCAATCCAGACGATAGCAACGGAGAGAAGAGAAATGGCTTTCGCCTCGTCATCGGTCTCGAGAACTTCCCGCAGGCACCACAGCGCTGTCAGGCTGATCGAATCCCTGCAGATGCCTATCGCCATGGCTCTCGCGGCGAAGGCGGCAAGATTGCACTGCTGAGTAATAGTGCCCTCTGCGAGCAGCCGCTCAGATGATGTCCGCAAGTTTGTACCAAAGCCATAAGACTCCCAGGTCCTGATGGCGGACTCGTTGTTGGAGTAGAGAGCTTTTCGAAGCGAGTCGAGCTCCTTAGTCCGCAGCAGCAGCGACACGAGCTTATCTTGAAAAGGGTCGTTTTTGTCCAAAACCTTGGCGGTTTCGATGAACATGTACCAGAGAACGTCAAGTCATTTCTGAACCGCCCCGACCTCATCCTGCCGTCTTCGAGAGGCATCTTGGATAAATTTGAAGCTGAAACTCCGAATAGAGACCAACTGGTCTAATTTGTCTTGTTCGTTGGAAATCTTGGTATCAGCCCTTTGATAGTCTGCTGTCTATAACGTGTCTCGTGGTCGAGTTCTGTCTCCATATACTTGGATGTGGACATAGTGAAGGATGAAGGTTACCAGCATACAATAATACAGCTTCCAAGGTTTAGGTGCTACTCTCAATGTAAGTTTTTCATAGACAGATCAAAGTTGGTTGCCATAGAGAAAGGGGCTGCAATTAGGCTAGGCAACCAAGACGATGTTAGGCAGTTAACTGCCTGCCTGGTTAAAGCCCGTGATCGGTGCTTTGCCACTATTACACAGTGGCTGTACAGTACTTTATCAAAGTGTCACATTCTGCCATGCGTTTAGATACCACAACTTGGCTTAATTCTTTTATTTCTAATTCTTTTATTTTCTCGATGATCCAAGCAAGGTCCTCTAATAATTTCTTTCACGACTTTTGTGGGCATGAGAGAGAGCGTTGGTCATCTCGTAGCCCACCTGCACGACCTATAATTAGCCTGCTAGAATACTTAGCCACTACCTGGCCAACGCGGGTTAAATGGCCACCTACAGCCTCACACTTCAATCTATGTATATTATCTGTGTGCCCACGGAAACGCCGTTGTTTTAGCTGGTGCATGCTTCAAATGTGGCATGCCACTTGCGTGAACCACAGCTTGTGACCTTAGGCATCTGTATGCACAGCTGAAATCTGCAGGTAATCTACGGGCTGGTGTCATGCCGCTTCGAGACTACCCCTTTGGCTACTGGGAAATTTGGCTTTGTCGCCTACAGTGTCGTGCCGGAGACCAAGAATTCGAAGTATGTTCAATAGTTAAACGGTAAGCTAAGCCAGATCGTGCCGTTCCATCCAAATGGGATGGCGGGCTAGCGATGTCAGCCACAGGCCCTCAGCTAAAATCTGTTGTAGCCAATATCATTACACCGAGAGGGACGGACAGAAGTTGGGATGCCTTAGTTTTGTAAACATTTCATATGTACTCCTAGAATAACACACTGTTGCTAGGAAGAGCATGTGGCACCAAGGCTGTTTCTGGGAACAGCGTGCGATACCAACGTCTACTGTCCCGAATTCCAAGGGTTCAATGCCAGAAGGCAGGCGTGGGGGCTACGCCACGTTACTCTATCTCGAGCCAGCTCTACAGTACCGTATACACTCGAAAAACTCATACTCTGAGCTAAACCATCTTCATCGATTTGCGCTGAGGTCATTGGCCATATTCGTTAAATTCCGTTAATTTATTTATCGTGCTATCGATATCTCGAGTATCATTCGTCATTAGTCTCTTAGCTCAGAATGAGTTTTTCGAGTGTATACGGTACCCCTCTGGGATGTGGTTACACAAAGTCTACAGGCAATATTGAAGTAAAAACCTTCGAAGTACAGCGGTTTGCGTGTTCTAAGCGGGTTTAGGTAGAATGACAGTGAAAAGTTACCCATCCATGCAACTTGTGGCTAGCTGAACTGCACGGACCATAGCAGATATATTCATGTTGTCGAGTGACAAATAAGGATATCCGTACACAGTCATCGTTGGACTGGGAAGTTACTTGATTAAGTAGCGACCTAACAATGGCTTGAGGTACCTAAGGTAATAGCTAAGAGAGTGCTGGATCGGAATAACCTCAAACCCGATTAGGGTCAACGGTCTCAATGTTGCTCCGGGGCGAAGGCTTCACCGCTGAAACAGAACCCCGCTCCGTGTAGCTTTAGGCTCTGGTTGGACTTGTGTGACGGCCTTGTCTGGCCCAGTCTTGAGAAAACACCAGAGACCGGCCGTTGTTCCATCGGTCATGCCCGCCTTTCGCGGAAGGCAGATTCTCGTGAACAAGGCTTACTGAGGTAAGAGTAAAATCGGTCTGCATGAACATATGTCCTCGAGCCCTGGAGCAAGCCTACCCTTCCCGACTTTCCATTTGCTCAGTCGTGATAAGAGCTATTGCCACTCCTGTGTTACCTTCGAGCTTCACCGCAGTTTTCGAAACCCCACAAAAGGTCTCAGCCCCTTATTAGGACCAAATTCTCTTGGGGTATATAGGTACCAAGATATCCAGTCTCCTCATTCCTAAGCGGGATAGCTCCTGACACACATGCTCATCTTCAAATGTACCATTGATATGTCTATCTCACAAAACAAAGCTAAGTGCGATAGACCTGAGCCGTTTGTGACATTTGATAGCCCACGGCTTCGTTCAGACCTTTTATCTAAAGTCGACAGGGAATTGATGTATGGCTTCTTCGGGTCGTTCAACGCCTCCTCCCTAGCTCAGTCGGCAGCTCAGTTCATCGCCACCCAAAGTGACGGTGACCAATATGCCCTAGCCGCTAGTCTCTCTACATTCCTCGCTCTGGCTTATAATGACTGCCTCAAGACCTGCGACTCTGCCGACTCACCCACTATCGGTACCGCGTGTTGGCTATGTGTACGTGCATTTCGCCCCACAGAAGAGTACGTCCAGCCACGTTGGCACCGTGATGGTCATATGTTCCAATGTACTTGTAAAGCAGATCCACCGGTACCGCACTCGAAGTATGCTGTCTCGCTTCTTGGTCCATCTACAAGGGTCTTGGCTCCATCTGTATGTATAGACCGAGTCATGAGCATTAAACGATACGAGGAGAATAGAGCCGAACTGGCCGAGAAGCTCGCCGGCTATGATGCTCTAGACCTTAAGTTAGGGCAAATAATCCGGTTCAGTTGGGGGGAGGAGGACTCTCCTGTGCATTCAGAGCCAGACTTTTCAGACCAAGATAGGGTGTTTGTTAGTGTGCTATTTGGCAGCAAAGAAGAGATTAAAGACATGTGTGAGAAAAGAAATAAAACTTATGGAAAGGAAGAATATAGCAGCTAAGCGCATCTAATACGAAGCTGCGGAATACCAACCGAGCAGCAGAGCATCAAGACAGGAGAACCGTCATCTACGGAGCGGGAAAGCAACACACGGGAATGCCAAAAACGAAACACCAACTAGTTCAAAAGAATACTCGACATCCAGCCTCGACGTAGGTGCCGCGTTGACTTTCATCGGACAAGGCTGCCATTTCCGGCGGGACTGAACTGTCAACCTGGTATCTCATTGCTTTACATGTCATTACAACACGTGCGACGGCGCCGCCTAATCCCGGTTCAAGGGCCGCCTTGTCGATAACCTCTTTCGTAGTGGTGGTATCTGAAATAGCTATCCTTTGAGCACGCGACTGAGGCTCCGAAGCTCCGAGAAATTCATCTGTTGTTGCCGTTCTGGCCTCCGGTGGCGGGCTACCCTGAATTCCTTCAGTAAGACTGTCACTCAGCGATCGTGGGAGGAGGAGGCTGTTAGCACCGGTTTGCCTCAGCAATGGCCTGTGCCGGCGGTTTCTGAATGAGGGGCTAGAGGAGCAGCGTGTTGGCTTTTGAACATCGCGTACAGGAAACTCCATTACCATTGTCGCTGGCAGCTGAGTTTCTGAGAGTGGCAGCGATCACAATCGCGGCGCAGTACTGGCCCTTTTTCCGGCGAGATGGCCCTGGCATCGCCAGACCCAAGAGTAAGTAATATGGGTGAAGAGGCCCTGTGTGTGAAAGCTATGGGGGAGGCACAAGCTGAAATCTGCAAGATAGGCAACACTTTTATTTGAGTAGGCAGATCTCAGAGGATACTGTCAGGTGTTTCTAGGTTCATGGTAGAAGGTTAGAAGCTGGCTGAAGGTGATTCTTGAACCCTCAACTGCGCCGCAACACTTCCTTGCTTCCATGAATGCCTCTAAGGCTAGACAGCGTTAAGCCTAGGATTTTAAGTCACTCAATACATTGAGTGCGCCAATAGAGGATACTGCAAGATTCAACATGCGAAATATGATCGATTCATTGCTCTTCGTCGAATTTTCCACAATGTAAGCTTTGCTACCTTCTCATCCATGACTGGGAGGACCTAAGGCAACTCGAACATGATTAGTGCCAATCATGCGGTCGCGCCATTGAAAGCAAGCCTATTCTCAGTGAAAAGCCCCGGATTTGACAGAGCATCCACTGTTGACAGCTCCTGGATCCTCTTACATAGCGCGATAGGATCCCTATCTCCTTCAAGCGCCAAGAGGTAAGCTCCTAACCCTGTGATGTGCGGCGTCGCCATTGACGTTCCTGAGATAACGTTTGTCTCGGTCGTGCCATTGTTCCACGCAGACAAGACGTCCACTCCCGGCGCGAAGATGTCGACAAGCGCACCAAAGTTGGAGAAGGATGCACGGCTGTCATCGCTGTCACTGGCGCCAACGGTACACACTGTCGGTTCTGAGGCAGGCGAGAAGAGGAACGCAGGCAAGCCGTCATTCCCGGCAGCTACGGCGAGAAAGAGCCCAGCCTCCACGGCAGCGGCCGCCGCTTGGTTGGTAGCCTCACCGAGACGGAGGCCCCCAAGAGACATGTTAGCAACTGCTTTTCCAATTCCTTGATTTTATTTCTTGTCAGCTTTGTAAAATGGGCTAAAGATTCGTGGACTTACGGCCTTTAGACGTGGCGTCAGTGACGGCCCATTCAATCCCAGCAATGACCTGGCTGTTGGAGCCCGATCCGCTAGAATCGAGGACCTTCACGGCAATCAGGTTGGTCTTCTTGGCTACGCCGTAAGTGGTTCCTCCTGTGGTTCCTGCTACGTGAGTTCCGTGACCGTTGCCATCGGTGTCAAGGCCATCTTCGGCGAAGTTAGCTCCCCAAGTGGCTCGACCGCCAAACTCCTCGTGCTCAGTGAAGATCCCCGTGTCAATAATATAAGAGTAAGTTCCTTCTCCTGCCGAATCATCATACACGTAGTCAGTTGAGCCAGGCTCTCGGTGAGAGAGGCGACCCAGCCCCCAGGGCGCACCGGTTTGAGTAACCAAGGCACTGATAGAGACTCTTGTGTCGGGCTCAATATACTCAACCTATAGTCGAGAGATTTAGTCAGATAGGTATAATTTTTCAAGCAATTTTGGGGTTCTTGCTACGCATTAGCATCAGAGTATCTGGCTTACATTAGCAATATTGCTGATCGCGTCCACAAAAGCATCAGCTTCCGAGATAGTGAAGCCCTTAAAATTTCCAAAGTTGTGAATAAGTTGAGGGGCTGTACCCCCAAGCATGCTCGTCGCTTCGTCAATACTTGATTGCAAGAGACTCTCTGAAGCATCTTTCTTTAGAACTACGATAAATTGACCCGCGATCACATCTGCATCTTGTCGTGGCTGAACAATAGGAGCAGCATAGGCGCATGCAACCAGAGCAAGGGTTCTTAAGAGCATCGTTTTCATCGAATCAATAAAAGCCAGACAAATTCGGTAGTATGTCGCAAACAACAATTTGATACAGACGTCTCAGAATGCTCGTAGCCGTTACATTACTGTTTATATACGCCATCGTACCCACCAGTCATCCAATGTTCTCATGAAGGCAGCCATCATGTTCGGTCCTGTGATGGATCACAAGCTCTTCTTGGCGTTCAAAGAGGGTGGCCGGTGTCGATCGTGAGGAGATACCGAATGATGGATTGTAGCAGTGACGATCTTCCCCGCTGTCAGACACCAATGCCGAGCGCGATGTTCCTGAATGGCGGTTGTGGGGGTCAAGGCGACACTTCACCTACCATGTTGGGCCAGAGGGGGAACAAGGGTCGGTGATAAGCTGAACAGTTCACTCTTGGCGGCTCCGCCATCCATCGTGCTCATTTTGCAGTTCACTACAACCTTGAAGTAGCGGGTTGCAGATGCGCGAACCACTACAGCCCGCTGTTGAGGATTGACGTGCTTTCTGATTTGTCTTTCCCCATCAACGGTGCCTAGTATGCACAACAAGCGGTCTGCACTACTCCATGGGATGAGACTGTGCAGATACTGGCACCTTTCAAGCCCCATGTTTGGTGATCATTGTATCGGTTTTTCTATCAAGGTAGACCCGCGGTATACTCATATCTGTATGTGATGATATTTCGATTTTAGAACCAGCATGAATTGCATCGCGCTGTCTTCATTGCCAAAATGCAGGAGAATCACGCTCAGGAATGGACTTCAAATGTTACGCTATGGAAGTTGGTCTTCGATCGCGATTCTCAAATAAACACTCTCGATACGATTTATCGAGAGATTACAGCACACAAAGCCCAAGATTCGACTGCATTGATTCCAATGGTATCTTGGGCTCAAATCGGGTTGGTATTAACGAATAGCAGTTCGAACGTTCTTTGTATACAATAACATTAGTGTCACCACGCGCTAATCATAAGGGGGTTCATTATATGTTCATTTATGGTATCTCAACTTAGTAGTGCGTCATCAATCGGTTTTATTTCAGGAAAGCCATTGCTGACATCATGCATCCTTAGCATATTAAAATTAGCTTTGGCTCCACGTTTGACCCGTGACAATACACTCATTACTCATCTCGGTTGAGCAAGCAAACAGATACTAAGCGCCTCGTCACTGAAGGTTAGGCCAACCATGGAGATTGGTTCCACGGAATTGATCCTGCCTCTGGTGACTTGCCATTGATACCAGCATGCGCTGATAGATTCGTGGATGATCGTGATGGTCGTACTGCAGTCTCATAGAAATTCTGTTGTGAGGCAATAGTCTGTCCCAGCGAACTTGCCGGTCTCTCAGCGAGATTGGCATGGTATGGAATTCCGTTCCCATAATCAGGAGTCAACATCCCCGATGATCTTCTATCCTTCGACTGACTGAACTCGTCTCCACGTCCACTCACGGTAGATAAATACTCGTTGAGTCGCTTTTCCTGGAAGCTGCGGCTTGATGATTGACGCAGTGTGTGGAGCTCGTGCGGCACCTCTGTGCTCACAGTGCTCAGTGTGCCAGAGTAGAAGTCGTCGACATCAGTGAACAAGTATTGATACAAGTCTCGGATCAACATTCTCCTCTCAGGGACTAACTGTAGCGTGGCTAGGAGAGCCTGCCTAATTCTCGGATTGCTACGGGCCTTTTCACTATTGTGGGCCCGTTTTAGAAGCACTTCGGTGATGTGATATTTCAAAGTGCAGAACACGTATTGTTTTGGTCTTGTAGCGCTCAACCCGTCCAGTGGCACAGGTTCTAGCATGTTTGCCTAAGGATAAAGGTTAGCCACTGCTAAGCACGCCTCTTCATCAGAAAGGAGTTCACCAAAATGAGTCCACAACTCCACATGTCTGTGTATACCGACGCCGTGTAGCCGTTGAACATCCATCTCTCGGGAGGAAGGAAAGCGTAGTTCTGGCGCTCCCATGACGTGAACTTGACTACCTCTTCGCCGCCGATTTCGCTGCCACTTCCAGGAGTTGCTGCTCCAATCCGTAGCCAGTCTTGGAGATCAGTGACAATGACAGATATTTGATCATTCGACCTACGACGAGCCAGAATGGAGTGCGGGGTGAGTCTTGTGTGTGAGATTCCCTGTTCCTGTAGGTATTTGACTGCAGACAGCAATTGCTTGAATACGTGCAGAGCATCGCTCTCAGATATACCGTACTGGAAGCGACAAAGCTGATCAAGATCCGCGGAAGGCTCTGCTGGATATACCAACCCAAATCCCTTCTGCCACTTAACAATGTCGATGATTTTGATTATGCAAGGGTGACTGAGGGAGAGGAGGCATTTTGCTTCCTGGCGCAGGACAAAGGCTTGAGGGTGCTCAGCCATTTTCACCGCTACGACCTCCTTACTGGCACCTCGTTTGGCCAATTGGGTGATGCAGCCTGGCATTTCACGCTGACTGTACTCGAGATAATAAGAATCTGTTGAGTCTTCATCGAGGTAGAGAGTTTTTGTGGGGGTATTAATGATTGAGTTGAGCGCGGTACCGCTTTTGAAGCCCGTCATTCTCATCAAGCGGGCAGTCTCGCTGTTCATCCTCCACTCATCAGGATAATCTTTGCGAACGTCACCATCACCATAATCCCAATACTGGTTTGGATTCTTGATAAGCCTCGTGATTGCGTCTCGCTCTTCTTTACCGCGTACATATAGACCGAGGGTTTCTGGTGCGTTTCGACGCTTGATGTGATCTCTCCAGGTAGCTTTGACATATGCAACTCGCTGTATGAGCACAATAAGTGCGACAATGTTCCACAAATGGAGTGGTGTACGACCACGTATAGGCAGATTCGGCTTGCTTCTAGAGCTTGACTCAACCGCATTGAAAGTAATCTTTGGAGGAATGGGAATCCTTGGGGGAAGAGGAGGAGGGGTGTTCTTCCTAGCTATGTGTGAAGATTCTCTACCTGGCGGCCCAATATCAGATGGCTGAGGTGCATCTTTCGGCAAGGTCCACCCTGTGGTAGGAGGCAAGGGTTTTCGTCTTGGTGTTTCATCGGGTGATCTTGTATCAGAAGTTGGTAAAGCCGGGGCAGTTATCACCAAGTTACGCGCCACGTCTTCATTCGCATCTGCTGCTGTAGAGGTCCAATCTTGATGTAGTGTCTGGGCTGCCGTGCTCCACTGGGATGTTGCTTGATCAGTCTCTGGTTGCATGAGTGAAATGCGAGATTGTAAGCCAGACAACGGGCTTTGAGGTGGCGCCGTTAGTCTTACAGGAACACTCTGTGGGCGCTGGGACAGAGCTGTTTCGACCCACTGCGATGGCGTCTGGCCAGGAGCAAGTTGTGCAAGAGAGTTCTGAGAAATAGCACTAGGGTAGGCCATTGGGCTTTGTGGTGGCCTTGGCGGCGTCCTATCTGGACCGCCTGTAGCACCAGCGGGCGACAACGGACGTGTTGGCGTGGTCATAGCTGGATATTGCAGACTCATGGAAGTATTCTCCTGCCAGCTGCCGGTGCTCCATTGAGCTGTAGGGTTGAGGCTAGTAGAAGAGGCAGTATAGCTAGATTGATAACTTGGTGATTGCAATGGCGTGTCATCTGTCATGATCGTGCTAGCCACCGTAGCAGCCACTTCGGATGTCCTCGCCGATTATTAGCAGGGTGACTACAGCAGATTGGGTACTCCGTAACTCACAAATCCGACCCTCTCGAACTGGATCGGGACTCGGGACGGGATATTTGGATCCATACATGAGAGACTGCCTCCCTTGCAGTTGGTCTCTTGGGTGGAGATGCGGACATACACTTGATCACGAAGTCAACACAATCCTCGCTCGCGCTGTTCTTTCGAAGAGGCTCAACGGGAAATGGTCGGTTATAGACCACGTAATTGAAGAGATCTCGCGGGTTGCGAAATGCGGCCTCATGAGACATCATTCTGAAGATAATTTCTCCGAGCGACCAAATATCCACGGCAAAGGTATATGAGGGATGGTTCGAGTCATTTTGAGCAGCATCCTCGGCCGTTTGAAAGCCTTTGAGTTCGGGTGCCAGGTACCCTTCGGTACCGATCAAGGTTCTCAGCGCTGTATTCTCCTCCTCTGCTCGCTTGCTGATTCCGAAGTCACTGATCTTGATCCACCACTCCGGTCCGGGCTGAAGGACGAGGATATTCTGCAATCCAGGTTAGTTACCAGTGACATATGATAGCGGTACGACTTACGCCGGGCTTCAAATCTCGGTGTGCGAAGCCGTTATCGTGCATAAAGACTAGGCCTTCGACCAGTTGAGACGATATTTCCTTTGCCTCGACCTCCGGAAGCGGTCCAGTCAAATGCTTCTGCAGGTCGCCATGCTCTAGATACTCCATTGCAATGAAAACGGCATCACTGGTTTCGTACCAGCCATACGATTTGACGAAGCAGTGGACATACTAATCGAGTCTTAGCATTCACAGAACTGTAGCTCACGGCAGTGGCAGCAACATACATTACCATGCGAAAACTTAGCAATCGCCTCCAGCTCTCGCCCATAGTCAATTGTAGTGGAGGCTCCATCCTTAGAGATCTCTTTGACTGCTCTCAATTGCCCCTGCTTGCTACCGGAGACGCAACCTTCCAGCCAAACCCGACCAAATGTGCCATTTCCAAGCTCTCGTTGCCTCCGCCATGTCTCTTCGGTACGTATACGTCGTCGCCGCGTAGTACTGCTCGAGAGGTAATAGACGTGCTGAATGGCACCGGCGACAAATCGCGTGTTCAGTTGCGAATCGCGCACGAGATCGGATGCACGAGAGCTCATGTTGCTCCGCTGGGATAGAGGCAATCGAGAGCAGCAGGGAGCCTAGTGATCGCTGTGCAGCCTGCTACGACTTTTGCAGTCATCTTCTTGTTGTCGCCGTCCCGCCGCACTGGCTATCGCAGCGCATAGCACTTAGTATTGTCAATCGTAGAGCTGTTGTTTGGCACAGCAAGCGTCCCAATTGTAGGCGCTGGCAGGCTCTTCAGCTGCAAGGAGAGGCAGAGGCCGCCATCGAGCGCCCGCCCCGTGATCGCTGTGGTCCTTCTTAGCTAGACTGTTCCATGCAGGAGGGGCTTAGGGTCGCCTCAGCCGCACGAGGCTCGGCGCTTCGCTTGAGGAGTGGTCGAATTATGTACTTGCACCTTGTTTCTTACCCGCTGCATCTGAGGAGACCTGGCGTTTGCTTTCCCGTTAGCCGTTCGGCCTCTAATGTCGCTGGCTCTTCGAAGATGGGACCAAACTGGCAGCCTCCTTAGGAATGATGGATCCATCAAGTGCTCTTGCTGGTGTTGAGTTTTGCTACAGGTTCGTTTAGACTCTAACAGGGAAGAGGAACAACAGTCTCGGCTCTTGTGACCCCGCGCGACGCTGACTGTCCAGGTGTGGCAAGGTAGTGATCGAGATTTGCCAAACTTGGCGCAACGCCGAGGACGAAGTGACACAGCGCATCACGATCGTCGAGAATTGCTGGACGCGAACCAGACTACAAATCGACTTCATCCAGCGTATATCGAAGTCCCTAGACGCCGAACACCGCCGCGTTCTCAATGACACTCTCGGCCGCCTTGCGACAACGCTCTCTTCGGCTATCTCAAAGATTCAGAAGGTCCACGACAAGACCTCCGATGCACGGCCCGGATTTCTGGCATTTGCCAGCAGAGTCAGGAGGGGGAAATATGTGCTGGTTAAAAGTACTCTGGATGAGGTAATCTTGGAGTTAGAGGACTGGCAGAGACGGTTCGACCCGTCGTTCTACCTAATCATGAGGATTGCGGATCCTGTGATAGATGAGCAGCTAAAAGAGGCAACGAAGCAGGCCAAGGAACAGAGGCGAACGGCATCAGCGGCGTCTGCAACAGCTGGCGCTGGCAATCACCAAGGGCAAGGGTCGCCGGCGCAGTCGTCGTCTCGCACTGCACGAGTCAATGAAAGATCTCCGCTCACCATTGCTGATGGCGTGAGGAACGTGCTACGGCCCGACCCGCCTCATGTCTCTATCTTCCTCCCCCATCAGCCACTCGAGACAATCTCTATACCCTTCTCCAAGGCGCAAGCTGCGTGTCGGCGCACTCATGCTGGTACACAGTGGTTCATCCTCGACACACTCCACATCCGTCCTACCAGTAATGTCAATGCCGTCACGGAGGATGTGCGAAAACTCGCGCGAAAGCTGTCGCGTGCTGACCCTCTTACCTTCGGCCTTTTAAATTGCAAGGGGGCAATGCGTATGCTCGATGCCCAGCGACGAGGTGTCATTGGATTCCATCTTATTTTGCGAGCACCCGAGGGCATGGAGATTCTACAAAGCCTACGGCAGGTGCTACTCAATAGCCCTGTATCAGGCAATACAGGGCCAGATGGCATTGGCACGGAGGGGATGAGTATGTCGTTGACACGCCGGGTACGCATCGCTAAGGAGCTCGGCAAATCTATCAGTTACGTGCACACCTTCAATTTTGTGCACAAGAACATATCTCCCGAATCCATCTTACTCTTTGAAGACTTGTCATCATCGCACAGCGCCACTTTCCTTGTAGGATTCGATGACTTCCGCTCTGTAGATGGCGGCACAGCTCTGATAGGTGATGTATCGTGGGAGAAGAATGTCTACCGCCACCCTAGCCGGCAGGGCGAGTTTCCCGAGGAGGCCTACCGCATGCAGCACGATGTCTATAGCCTGGGGGTATGCTTGCTTGAAATTGGCTTGTGGGAATCTTTTGTGGACTATACCACGGATGATCCTCCGCTGCCGCGATATGGTAAGTCGTACAATAATTTCATGATCTGGGTCAGGGGCCAAAGCGAGGAATCTGACCAGCAATCCTCGAATGCGTCGTATATGGGCTTTATGGCCAGCAAGCTCAAGGAATATCTCGTCCTTTTAGCAAGATCGCAGTTACCACAGAAAATGGGCGATCGATATGCAGAAATAGTTGTCTCCTGCCTAACATGCCTAGATGAAGAGGGTAATGGCTTCGACGACTGGGATCCGGACGAAGATGATATTCGTCTAGGAGTCCGGTTCAATGATAGAATACTAGGTCGTCTCAATGAGATCATCATCTAAATCCCGTTGGAAGGAAACGGGGTGGTCATTGCCTGCAATTGCTCTTTAAATTATTGAAGACTTTGGGTCTTGGTACCAGCAATGATAATCGCATATAAATCATGAAACAAGAATTCTTCTATGATTGCCGCTGTGCTGCCTCTGCGTTCGTGAACTTTGGCAATTAGCTGTTGCGCCTGTTAACACGTGATGGCTGCATTAAATCTTCTTCAGCCGGTCCAACCAGTAGCTCAACCTCACTAACTTCAACTATATATTGATACCACCCGCCAACAATAACTCATCGAACTGTCAAGTTGGAACTACCTCTACTAAAGGATCGGGCACGAGACGTCTCGATATACTCTGCAAAGGCAGTTGGACACCACGATCATTCGCAGATCACGAATTTCCCCAAGACCGAATGTCAACCCATCATAGACGAGTGGGACGAAGCTGTGGAACTTGATAAAGATAGAGCGTTTGTTCACTACAAGAGCCGATCGGATTTGATGCAATCGATTGTCAAAGGATGTAACCCCAGAGAATAACCCCTTATACGGCTCCGACATGGTCATGGGCTTCCTTGAACGGGATTGTGATGTTTCTTCGCTTCCATGATGCTGACAAGTATATATGTCGGATCAAGGTCTGCGATACTCAGATGTTATACTCTTCGGCAAATAATTTCGGTCAAGTCAGGTCCGCGTGTTTTCGAATCCAACGTCATCTGCTGTGTCACGTCTTGCTTGAGATACAAGCCATCCGAACGTCCAATGCGGTTGCAATGCTTTCTTGCGGCGAGAAAGTTGATCTATATGTATATTGGGATATCCAGACCAGCTGAAATTAATGCGCCATATTTATATGCTGGAAATTGTGCAGAAGAGCAACCTGTAGACAACAGGACTACTTCTCGAGCCGGCTAAGATAAAAGCTGGCCGGTATGTGAGAGTTGGAGCTTACTCCATGTGGTGGAAAGGCTCATCCAATGAAGCGATAAAAGCATTTGGCGCGGAGAATCTGATAAACTCTGGAAACGATTTAGATTTCTCTGAGATTCTATATGATGCTGAAATGAAGCAATTCTTCGTGGATCTCATATAGAAATTTAATTCCTTTCAGGCACCCTTCAACCATTCTTCCTAATGGTATAAGTGAGATAGAACCACCAGCTATTGCAATCTAAAGCCACTCAAAAATATGTTATTTTGCTGGCCACTTAGTTATTCACAGGTATTGTACCATAAATCGATGGATTACGAATAATCGTACTATCCGTTATCCTAGCATTTTGATTAGGTTAATTATATACTCAGATGTGCGCGACCACGTGTTTGTCGTCATCATTGTCCCCGGCGACTGAAGTACCCATGTCCTTCTCACCCTCGAGACGACCAATTCGACGTTCTACAGCAGTGAACTGAATTTCGGATTTGCGAAACGGACTATAGGGTACTTCGAAGATAGCGTCAATCTCCTCTAATGCACAACCCTAGAAAACACATATCAAGTCAGCGAATACAAATCAAACGATCCAATCGAAGCTATTCATTGCGTACCTTTGTCTCTGGGAGGAAAAAGACCGTGAAAACGAGAGCTAGTATGGAGATGCTGCCAAATACCCATCCAACCTGGAAGTGTATATTGTCGATCATGTATGGAATCACGAAGTTGGTAACAAATGCCCATATCACATTCCATGAAGTTCCCAGTGATTGTGTTTTCTCTCGAAGAGCAGCATTTGGGATTTCTGTGCCCAAGAGATAAGGAATGGAAGCGCCGCCCATCTAGAAGCAAGTTAAAATGCGCCTTAGCTAGATCATAGCGGCTGAGAAGGCTCCGAGGACACTTACGTTATAGCAGAATGAATAAAGCATGAATGCAGCTACGACTGTGTTGCTCTCTGTGGCTGATTTGTTCGTCTTCTCACCAAGGCCGGCCAAGAGAAACATCCAAAAGCCCTGGAAGAAGAAGCTAATCAGAAGGCTATATCGGCGACTATATTACTCCATCTTTTACTTCATGGTCATTTAGGCAAAGGTTGAACGTTAGCTTACCCAATTGTATCGACCATATACATGCCAGGAAGAACCGACAAGAAACCGAGGCATGTATTGACGATGGGATAGGTGAAGGCTTGCGCCGCATAGCCGTTGTTTTTGTAGAACGTCGTTTGATATGTGGAGACAAAAGCTTGTCCAGTGGTCTTGATTGCGGGTATCAGATTCTATATAATCATTCAACGGGGCCAGTACTCACCTGCTGGAAGAAATAGTAGACAACCACAATCATGGTTCGACGGAGATTTGTTCCACGAACGAGGTCTAGCCAAGGGGCTTTGTGTACATGCTCTTGAAGAGCCTCTCTGATAGCATGTATCTCTGCCTCACAGTTGCCATCTTCAACGTCAGACTTGCTTCTGAGGCGGCGAAGAGCAACAATCGCATCTTCTTCTCTATCTTTGGATAGAAGCCAACGAGGCGAGCTTGGAATAAAGAAGGTGAAGAGGATGATTACTGCCATCACCATGTTAGACTTTCTTCGACTATTGAAACAGGGCAGC